GTGGGAATTTGTCCCAAAAACTTGGTATGAGATTCCAAAATTATAGCGCTGGTATGCCAAAAATAGTCGCCAAGTTAAAGAAAAAATTGATAAATTTTTTATATGCTTTGAGTTTTTGTAGAATTTCTGTACTTATTACACTAGTCAACACGACATTTTGGCTGTGGCTTAAAATGCCTTTTTCCCTTAGATTTCGGGGTTTAACATTTTTTAACTAATTAATTCTTCTATCTTAAACTAAAAATCATGCCAAGACTTGTTTTTCGACTTTTCCTGAGTTTTTAAGGCCAAAATTTCGGGAAAAAATACCGCAAAAAAAATGATGAAATTTGAATTTGAAAGCTTATTATCTTCCAGGCGTTCAGCTGCAGATACTAAGTGTCTGGGTCGGACTGCATTTGTCAACTTTTCAGAACTGCAAAGTTCTATGCAACCAGATATAATATACTTAAGTCATGTGAAAAATAAAAGCACTACCTCTGAAAAATATACCAGATTTTAAAAAATTCGTTAAAAAAACTAAACCATAAAATAAACAATTACAACAGATTATTATACAAATATGTTTATTCATTGTCGATTAGGTCGATTAGGCGACGATGTGTCAGGTACGAGTGCTACGACAGACTCTCCTATGGGCAGGCGGACCGAATTGCCCGTGCCCTAATGCAAGTGAGAGAAAGATAGATGAAGAGAACGATAGCGAAGGCGAAAGAAGAAATCTAGATTCATATATAGACCGCGATTCGTGTTTATATATGCGACGAGAGAAAAGTGCGAGAGACTGCAAAGGCATGCAAGTGCCAGACCAGATCATGACCATTGCGAAGGCATGTTAGAGCAGACGGGCCGAATTGCCCGTGCCCTACGCGATGCTACGAAAAAGGGAGCGAGAGAGTGTTCGAGAGAAGGAGAGAGCTAAAATGATCGATAGAACGAAAGAGCGACAGAGCGAGAGTGATAGAAAAGTAAAGGAGAAAGGTTACGAATAGACGAAAGAACGGTTGAAACGGCTATTACAGTGAGGGGGCGAATGTAGATGCATGTCGGTTACAATTAGGTACAGTGGTCAGTGCAAATAACGAACAAATAACAGGAATTACTTTAAGGCTGCACCACTGACTAAAAATACTAAATAATGCTCGGCTGGGAGACCAAACAGTTGATATTCAAAGCTTTCGATCTGTAGAAGCAAAACTAGACAAAACTAAACATTTTAATTTTTAATTCCCTTAAAAATGTAGGAGCTAATCGTAGGATTGTGTAATGCACTGTATCTCGGTTCTTCTAAAAACGAGAAGGAACGTGTAAGTCGCTTCTAAAGACGCGACTCTACTTATACCCGTACTCAGTCAGTATTTACATTTTTGAACACATGATTTTTTAGAATTTTAGCATTAAAAAAAAATTTTTTACATATTAAATTTTTTTGCTACATCTGCTATCTACATCTACATATACAATGTATATTCTACATCTAACATGTAGATTATAGATGTACCATTCATATTCTACATCTCCTCCGCTGAGGTTGCTCGCGCACTGAACGCGGCAGAGTGTGCGAGCGAGAAGGAAAAAGAGTTGCGTTGTCGTTTGCTGGAGGGGGCAGGGGAAGCAACTGAAAATTAATTTCTCCACAGATTTTCGTCCTTTGTGTGGGCGGAAAGGGGTGGGGCGAAATTTTGAAATACACTTGTAGCAGTGTGATATCACATGAGTCTGGTAACCAAATTTGGTTCCTCTAGCTTGTATAGTCTCTGAGATCTAGGCGCTCAACAAGACGGACAGACGGAGAGACAGACAGACGGACAGACAGACATGGCTATATCGACTCGGCTATTGATGCTGATCAAGAATATATATACGTTATGGGGTCGGAAACGTTTCCTTCTCTGCGTTACACACATCCACTTTTACCACAAATCTAATATACCCCTTAACTCTTTTTTGAGTACGGGTATAAAAACGCAGTATCGTAGAAAATGACCATACCTACCAGATTGCTGAATCTGAATCAGATCGGATCGGATCATTATTATAGCCAGAGTAAAGAAATTTATTTTTAGTGGCTACCACCTCCTCCGACGCTGCTGACGCTACTTATTATCTTTCTCGCTCGCACACACTCTGCCCTATGCAGTGCGTGACCTTTCGCAGAGAAGATGTATAGTTTACATTATAGACGTATAATCTACATTTCAGATGTAGAATAAACATGTAAGATGTAGATGACAGATGTAGAAATGTAAAATATTTTAAAATTCTACATATATCATAAGCTCACAAATTTATATACTGAGTACGAGTATAAAAGTAGAGTCGCGTCCAAAGAAGCGACTCACACGTTCCTTCTCGTTTTTAAGTCACTGATTGATGAAAATCAGGAAGTTAAGCTAGGTTAGGTTAGATTATAGCGGTAGCTAGAGAGAGAGAACATCCCTTCAGCTATCTTGGTCCTACTTTAGGACCGTTGTGATGCCGCATGGCCTAAACCTTGGTGAGCAACTTGTTGCGGATTAAGGGCACTCCCATCCGGTGGCTGACAGGGCAGTCAGGGCCGGGCAGTGACAGAAGAACCGACTCCGCCTTTTCCTCGTCCCTACAGCTTCTACAGAAGTAGTTGTGAGGGATTGAAAGTCTGGCAGCATGTGGTGTCTGCCAGTGTCCCGTGATGGCTCGGATGACGGCGGAGCACTGTACACTGATGAGTCTGTAGAGCTTTTCCGAGCGTGTCTACGATCTTGGTCAGATCGATCTGGAAGTTTTACAGCTGTTGGTTAGCTGCTCTGAAAGCTTCTCGGCTATCTGAAACGACGCACACAGTCTGTTTAAAGAAAGATTGGAGACGAATGAGATAGCCTCGTTTATTACTACAACCTCCGCTTGGAACACACTATGACTATGACACTATGACTGGGACACGGCCATCTAACTTTGAGCCATCAGTGTATAAGTGGTCCCATATGTCCCATCTCCCAGTCCTCCCTGAGTGGAATTGATACCTGGAAAGGCGTCGAGAGGACTCCCTCCGGTAGTTGCGGGAGTCTCGTCAAGAGTGTCCAAACGCGGGTGCATTTCAAAGTTTGGATCCTCTCATTCTGAGAGTGGAAAGAGTTGCCACCTTTTTCCCCATGAGTTCTACAACGAGAAGGTACAACATGGTATAAAGGGCTTCGCCTGGGGTTGTGCGCAGTTGTGCGTCTGCCGGTATGCATAGCTCTGCCATGCGTTGTTCACGGCTGAGTTTGCTAAGAAACGTTTTCTTGTCTAGTGCTGGCTACTACACCACCACTCCGTACATCAGAATTGGTCGTATGATGGCGCTATATAGCCACCGGACTATGTACAGGGTGGTACGATGTACGATGGTTTTTCTGCAGGTATAGAGGGCCACAGTGTTCTTCTTTACCCTATCCTCTATGCTCAGTTTCCAATCGACCTTCCTATCGAGGATCGGGCCAAGATACTTGGCATTGTTGCTAAGAGCTAGCGCTTCCCCACAGAGTTTTGGGGAAGTCAGTGTCGGAATCTTGTACTTCCTGGTGAATAGTACTAGATCCGTTTTAGACGGGTAAACACCTAGCCCGTATTTGTCTGCCCATTGCGACAGTTTTATAAGAGTACTTTTCATGCACTCCCATAGCTTCTGTGGTACTCTCCCTGAGAAAGCTATGGCAGCCTCATAAGCGTACGCCAAAACGTGGCATCCACCTCCCTCTATCTTCCGCAGCAGTTCATTAACTGCTACGTTCCAGGAGGAGCGGGAGGACTCCGCCCTGCGGTGTACCTCGGGTGACAAAGGATGGTAGCGGGTCTCTGGCAGGCGGGGCGGAAGAACCAACAAAATTAATTTCTTCATTCTGGCTATAATTATGATCCGATCTGATTCAGATTCGGAATCTGTTATATATATGGGCATTCTCTACGATACTACGTTTTTAGTTTTATCGTATCTTTAAAATTGTGCCTGCCACAGATTTTCGTCCTTTGTGGTGGCGGCAGGGGTCGGGGCGAAATTTTGAAATACACTTGTAGCAGTGTGATATCACATGAGTCTGGAAACCAAATTTGGTTCCTCTAGCTTGTATAGTCTCTGAGATCTAGGCGCTCAACAAGACATACAGACGGAGAGACAGACAGACGGACGGACAGACAGACATGGCTATATCGACTCGGCTATTGATGCTGATCAAGAATATATATACGTTATGGGGTCGGAAACGTTTCCTTCTCTGCGTTACACACATCCACTTTTACCACAAATCTAATATACCCCTTAACTCTTTTTTGAGTACGGGTATAAAAAACAAAGTGTCCGATCCGCCTATTTCAAGAAATGATTTCCAAGTCATTGAAAAACTGTATGCAACATTTCCTTGGGACTGTTTTTAAACTCAGTTGGAATAGTTGGAAAAGAATCAGAGTGACATATACAAGGGTACCACAGACTTTCAAACTCACAGAATTCGAACTGAGTGATTTTCTAGGTGTCCCAGCATGCTGTCTCGGTTGGGTTTAAAATCTCTTGTCTCAAACCACCTCAAATGAAAATCTGGCCACTTAGTTTTTCTGACAATTTAATTTTTTTCGGAGTGTCATTTTTTTTTCGAATATTTAGCATGATGGTTTTAAATTTAAAAGTATAATCCAAAGAAGTTTGTACACGGATTGTCAAAAAAGGGCAAAATCCTGTATTCCAAAATAAGAAAATAAATAAACATTTGTTTTCATATAAAAACAAAAAAACAACGTAGAGTCAGAAGTGAACAACGGGTCTGACATCATTCTAAGCATATTGCGCTCTACTCTTTCTTCTTGTTTTTGCCTCCTCCTTTAATTTTTCCTCCCATCATCTCTTGTATTTGTTACAATCGGAAAAAAAACAACAAAAAACAGATTTAGTGTTATCATCTAACACTTTGATTGAGTGGGCAATGTTACTTTGGGTAACTTTTTTTCATACAAATAACTAATTTTAACTTATTTTTATTAATTTACAGAATTCTCAAAACTCCAACTGAAGACATTTGGCCAGGCGTTACTTCGCTTCCCGATTATAAAAATACTTTTCCTTGCTGGTCAACAAATCAATTAACAAACCAGCTTAAAAATCTTGATGCCAATGGTGTAAACCTCATTCAAAGTATGCTAATTTATGATCCAGTACATCGTATATCAGCCAAAGATATATTGGAGCATCCATATTTTAATGGGTTTGAAGCAGATTTAATATCTAGCTAACTTTCGGAATATGGATTCAAATTAAAACTTATATCAACCTGAAATTTGTTCGAATTTAAATTAAAATGCTTTGTAAAGTAGTTTTCTTTTCGGAGGTTATAACTCAGGGCTCGCCAGAGTATCTAAGCAACCTTTTTTTTTAGATAAGGGGACCTACGAAAAATGAATGCGTGTTTGATGACGTTCAGGCGTTGAAAAAGAGAATAGGTAACTGTGAGACTGCCCGCCCGGGAATGAGGTGAGGTCGTTCGGTTGGCACCAGAACGTGTTATGTATTGATATTCCTAAAATTACCTAACGCATTATTTGTATTATTATAATCTGGCAACTCTATATAATAAATGGTCAGTCTATATCTAGCCCTCAATTGGAATGTTCTTATTTGGCTCCGCAAATACAACATTATTGGCGACGAGGCAAAAAAAAAGTTAAATTTAGCCATACAAAAATCAATTTTTATCTAAAGTCGTGTCGCGTTGTCGTTGATATTCGTCAAGACGCCGACAGATGAAAGCATGATCGCATCATTGCTCACTCAACAGCAGAAATTTTGGAACAGCAACGAAAATGGATGCAAGAAATTCTAGAAAAATCTACATCTGGTGCTAGCAATTCAAGCCAAGCGGGTGAATTGGCTGTGTGTCCTGCATTTCACAAGTTCGACAAAGACAACCAGAATTGGGATTCATATTTGGAAAAATTATCGCAGCACTTCAACGCATATTCGGTCAATGCAGACCAAATGCAAAAAGCTTATTTTCTTTCGTGGTGTGGTGTGAACATATCCGAGCTACTAAAAAACATCTTCGGGAGTAAACAACTATACGTTCAAAGAGCTGACAGACAAGCTTACAGTGCATTTCACAACAAAACGTCATTTTGTGGCCGCTCGCTAGGAATTCCACAAGAGAGTGATGAAGTACGGACAAACACATAGAGAGTGGGTAGCCGACTTGCGCGGAATCGCTCGTGAATGCCAATTCGTGTGTAATGCGAATGAATGTTTGTCCAACTACGTAGATGAAATGATCCGGGATCAGATCATCGTACACATCCCGTTTGACGCAGTACGGGCAGCAGCTCTTCAAAAGTCCCAACCAACTCTTGAAGATGTCCTCATAGTTGAAGAAACGTATGAGACGACCACAAAAACCGTAGCGACGCTCAAAGACAACATGGAGAAGCAAATTCCAGTCAACGCCATCCACACCTATACCAATAAAAAAGTAATGCCAAGAAAAATGATGCCAAGCCCTGCAAAAATTAACTAAAATCGTGTACGGGTTGTGGCGTCTCTCACGAAAGAGAGCTGCAAGTTTCGCGATGCCGTATGTCACAAGTGCGGTAGAAAGGGAAATATATCTGTAGTATGTATTGTAATGTCCTATTTCAGGCTGAGGTATGCATCAGCCTGCCCAGGGTCCTGAATTACAAATTATTTCTAATTCACGAGGACTTTATCGGGAAAACCAGGAACTTTGCCAGAAACTGAAATAGAAATTACAACACTTTTTGGTTCTTTTAATTTTCAATGGTTTTCTTTATTCTTCCGTCTTCTTCCGTATGATTATTCTACCCGGTTATGTTATGTTTTAATTGTGCTACGACGCGTATGGTAGTTTGATTCGACTGCCGCCCGCGATGGCTGATTGACTGCCTCCCCCGATGGCTGGTGGACTGCCTTTTTATAGATCGGCCGGCCTTCCATGAATGTCTTATAGATATCTTATTTCTACTCCAGACCGTGGGAAGGGTTCTTACATAAATCTCTCTGGCCGAATTATAGTCTGCGCGTGTAGACGGGCTGATCGGTAACAGAAGGTTACCAAATCATTAGCCCTGCAGTCAGTGTCCAATATCCCCGGTAAGGAGAGTCGGAGACTGCTGACTGGCTCGCGCATGTGGGGGTTTTGCCCGGTAATCTAGGGTTACCTAAGCAATCGCCTCCCAACAAGGGTCCAATATCCCAGGTAAGGTGATCGGTGTGCACCGGTACCGTGGGAAAGGAATGTAACTTCAGGGAGATTTGAGATTCTTACTTGGCTTTTATTTATATGATTATACATTTAAAGATATTTAAAGAGGTTTAGAGGTCTTACTTAGTTGTGACGAACCATGGGGAACCATGGTTCGTTACACCCCCCCTTTTCTTCCGGTAGGAGGTGGTGTTGTAGTGGTGGGTGTCTCGAATAATAACTTTCACTCAAATCAAGAAGCGAACTGATTTAGTAACTGGAGAACTCAGCTATATATAGCGTTTTCCCTTTCTTGATAGGGCCGTTGCGGCCGTACGTAGCCGCTTTTCTTCGAACAGGGCTCAGGTTTCGTCTTAGCGGGTTGAGCGACACTTTTCCAGGTTATTGGTGGTGTTTCGCTGCGGGGGGTGATCGCCGTTCGATGTCACGTGTGCTGAGTCCTCGACTTTTTCTGTCTGTTGGACGCGCGTGTGCTGAGGTTGATATTTCTTTTTCTTTGTCTTGTCTCTTGCTGTGGATTTTGGTGGCGCATGTGCTGAGTTTTCATTTCTTTGGGTGTTGAACTCGTCATTTGAGAGCGTTCGTTACTTCCGTTGTAGTGGGGGTTGGTTACATATTCTGAGCCCGCGGGTTTTTGGTTCTTGGCTGCGCGTGTGCTGCGTTCTCGTCTTTAGGTTCGTTGGCTTTGGCTGGTCAGCTGCCAATATATGGAAACCAAAGTCGTGGCTAGGGGGATTGCGGGGGGCTAGTGGTAGTATTTGCCTCGTCGGTGGCATCCCTGTCCTCGTGGAATTCCTTCAGGTCGTTGATGTTAGCAACCTTCGCTTTTCGGCTGCCCGGATGCTGTAGTTTTACAATGTTCGGTGATGCAAAACCTTTGACTCGGTATGGTCCATCGTATTTCGGTGCCAGCTTAGCGGCGAATCCGTCGGCAGCGTTGGAGAGATGGTGCTGTCGTAGGAGTACATGGGATCCAATAGTGGGGCGCCATTGCCGGCGGCGGAGGTTGTAATGCCTTCCTTGTTCCTGGCTTGCCCTCTGGATGTTATTTCTGACTATTGTGAATGCTTCGCTGAGTTTGGTTGCCTTGCCGAGAGCGGTCTCTGGGGGGCTTCCGGTGCCTGTCGTGACTTCGTCATAGAGGGCTCCAGGCAAACGGGGCTCTCTTCCATGCAGTAGGAAAGCTGGGCTGAATCCCGTTGTCTCCGAGACGCTGGAATTTATTGCGAGGGATATTTCCGGTAGTAGCTCATCCCAGGTATTTTGACGATCCCCTACGAATTGGGCAATCATGGTCTTGACTGTCCGATTTGCCCGTTCCGTTGGATTTTCCTGGGGGCAGTAGGGTGCGGTATGTTGCAGTTCTACTCCTGCTGTCTGTAGAAATGACCGAAACGATCGACTTGTGAATTGCGTGCCGTTGTCGCACACAAAGCGTTTGGGTATGCCGAAATGGCTCAGGATTCGTTCTCGGAAAGCCAGTTCCAGGGTAGCGGTGGTGGCCTTTTTGAGTGGTACCAATTCGACCCATTTCGTGAAAGTGTCAAAGAAGACGAGCAGCATCGTGTTTCATTTCTTTGATCGAGGTAGTGGTCCAACGAAGTCAGCGCATAGTGTAGCGAATGGCTCTTCGGCTTTGCGAGTGAGCATCTGGCCCACCGGCTTGCGTTGTTGAGCTTTGAACTTCTGGCAGCTTACGCAGCCACGGACATATTTCCTCACGTCTCGGTAGAAACCTGGCCAATAGTACCGTTGGGATATTCGGGTGATGGTTTTCCTGACCCCTAGGTGGCCGGCTGTGGGTTGGTCGTGGCATTCGTGAAGTATTCTGGTTCGTTGATCTTTTGCTACGCAGAGTTTCCATGCTATATGGTCGTCGTCGTCGGCGCCATGGCCCAGATGTCGATATAGTTCCCCGTTAGCATAGGTGTAGTCGGGGTATTTCTGAGGCTCGTCCTGGACTTGTTTTATCCGGTGCTGGAGCCAGGGGCAGGCTGTCTTCTCCTCTTCGATCCGTGCGAGTGTTCCTAATGGCTGCCTGGATAGTGCATCTGCGACTACGTTCTGTTTGCCCGCTCGATAATGCACGTCATATTGGTATTGCTGAAGTTCGAGGGCCTATCTCGCCACTCTACCGTATGGGCTGTCAAGCGTATTTAGCCATTTTAGCGCGAGATGATCGGTGATTACATCGAATCGGTACCCTTCCAGGTAGCAGCGTAGTTTTCGAATGGCCCAAATGACCGCTAGGCACTCCTTGTCAGTAGCGGAGTAGTTTTCTTCCGCCTGGTTCAGTCGTCGGCTGACATATGCTATGACTCGTTCTTTGCCTTCGATTTCTTGGGTTAGAACTGCGCCAACTCCTAGATTGCTCGCATCTGTTTGCAGCGAGAATTTGACGTTGAAATCGGGGCACGCAAGGACGGGGGCGGTCGTGAGAAGTGTCTTCAGTTGGTCAAAAGCAGCCTGTTGTGCTTCGGACCATACCCATGGTTGGACCTTCTTGAGTAGGCGAGACATCGGTTGGACGACCGTCGCGAAGTTTGGTACAAATCTTCGGTACCAGGACGCCATCCCGATGCATTGACGAAGCTCTTTTAGGTTGGTGGGCGGTCGGAGTTCTTTGACGGCGGCAATTTTGTCGGGGTCGGTGTGGATTCCCTCATTGCTGATCATATGGCCGAGATACTTGATTTGGGTTTGAAAGAACGCGCATTTTTCCGCATTTATCCTTAGGTTCGCTTTCCGGAGTCGGGACAAAACCACTTTCAAGTTGCGTAGATGTTCGTTGAAATCTCGCCCCACGATGACAATGTCATCTAGGTACGCGAATGCATATGGCTCCATGTCTGTACCAATCACGGTGTCGAGAGCCCGCTGAAATGTTGCCGGTGCCGAGTGCAGTCCAAAGGGCATAACCTTCCATTGGTAGAGGCCCCGGCCCGGTACGGTGAAAGCTGTTGCTTCTCTACTTCCGTCGGCCATGGGGATCTGCCAGTATCCGTTTTTCAGGTCGAGGGTGGTGATGAACCGCGCGTTTTGTAACCGTTCCAGAATATAGTTGATCCTCGGCAGCGGGTATGCGTCGGGGATGGAATGCGTGTTGAGTTGCCGGTAGTCCACGCACATGCGCCATTTTCCATTCTTTTTACGGACGAGTACAATTGGGGCGCTGTGGGGGCTCCGGGAGGGCTCGATGAAGCCTTCCGAAATCAATTGGTCCACTTGTTCATCAATTATTCGCATCATTGCTGGGTTCTTAGGATAGTACCGCTGTTTTATGGGCCGGTTATCCCTCATGACAATAGTGTGCTTGGCGATGTCCGACGTCCCGTGGAGGCCATCAAATTTTGGTAGCTCCTCATCTAGAAATGCTTGGATCTGCGGGGCT